AAATTACCATTTTGTCATTTTTCATAAAAAAATTAAATTTACCCAAATTTTACACCTATGCTACGATCCGAGTATCTAAACAAAGTGGCTCGATATCTATTTTCTTTTTGTCGGTTCATCAAACCACACTCGCCCCTTTATTTGAGTTAGGGGCTTAATAGGCTAAATGAGAGACCATTTTTCCCTTCGGAGATAAGGGCCCACCCAACTAGTGCTATTTTTCTTTAAGGCGGAAAGTCCTACATATATTGACGACTCCTTTTCTTAATACCAAAAGCGGAGCGGAAGGAGAACCAAGTGTATTGTTTTTTGCACTCGGTTAAAATATTTTTTCAAGGGTGTGATGACTCACTCCGAGGCCCTTATAAACATGAAGGCAACTGAGAAAAAACTTTCTCCCCAACTCTCTAGCCCATGCTAAAAAATTAGAAGCTATATTGGGGCTATTCATTCCTCTTCTCGGAACTAAACTATTTTTTTTAGCCACAAAACCAAAAAAGATGACCTCTATCAATGTCAACCAGGTTGTTCTCTCCCATGTTTTAATAGCTTTCCTCTTCGAAAGAAGTTCGATACAACATTACACGTATCATTTTTTATGATTCCCCAACAGATTAGAAAAAAGTGGTCATTGAATCCATCCAAACCCGGGACTTTATCTGGGTTAAAACTTAGCACAACCTTCTAGATTTCATCGTCGTCACCTGTTGAATGAATCCTAACTACTAATCCTCAATAAGGACTCTCTCAAACTGAAAATGGTTGTTCACATTTCAAGATCTGATTTATCCCAAGGAAATGATCAACTGTAGCAACCTTGATGCTAGTCTCCTCATGTTCCTATGTGGCCGTTATCATCTTTAATAGAATGAAAAGGCTTTCGAGTTCTTCTTTCAGGTAAGGTTGCTCATATAGTTATTGTCTTTCTATCTCCATTTTCCAAGTGTAGAAAGAATCAAAATTTTTGAATAACTTTTTTTTTTTTACCTATATTGTTGATTATGTGGGTCATGCTGGAGTAACTTCTTGGGTTAAGGCAACAAACGATCCTACTATTAGTCTAATGGGCCTCTAGAGTGGCCCCATGTGGTGTGTAGGCCAACCCATGACTGGTGGACTATTGGGCTTTTTAGTCAGATCATGGGTCATATACTGTTTTTTTCGACCCTTGAAAGATGCTAAGTCTATGTAGTAGTGAAAAAGACTCTTATATCATTTCCTAAACACTTTTGTGTGAAGGAACAAAAAACTCAACCGACGAAAAAGTTGGAACCGTCACCCATTTCCACCATTAACGGACACACTTGACAAGAATCAAGGAAAGGAATTTTGGTTGAAGATTTTATCTTCACAGATACCTTTCCCTTCCTCTCCCCCCCCCCAAAAAAAAATAATAATAATATGACGAACATTTAGTAAAAGTTTTGAAATTCAAAATTTTCTCTCCATCGATATTCAAATATTGAAATTCAAAATTTCCTCAATAGTGTGACAACACCATTGGTTAGAACACAACTTTACTTGTCACACTATGACAAAAACAATGTGTCACATCATTGTCTAATTGAGTGCAAATAGAAAATATTGTGTTTGTCACATTGTGACAATACAAATATGACATCAAAATTTTAGTTGGTTTTAACCATACACTGATTGTCACACTGTGACAACAATGTGCCAAAGCGTTATGTGATTGCTTGTGTACACAAAACACTATGCTTCATACAGTGTGACAACGCAGTGCCACATCAATTGTATTTAGCTTGGACACAAATCTGCTTGTCACACTATGACAAACAATGTGTCAGAACATTGTCTGAGTGTGTGCACAAATGAAATACTTTGCTTCTCACATTGTGACGTTGATAATATTGCGTTATATCTGCCAATTTCAAAAATAAAAATGATATTAATAAGTCGTTGAAGTAGAAAAAAAAACACGACCTGTGGGTGAAAACAATAGACGTTGAAGAAGAAGAAATATACAACCTGTGAGTGAAAACCGCAGACATTGAAGTAAAAAAGTTAAAATAGAATAAGATGTTGAAGAAGACGAGCATGTCTTGAAGTAGAAAATCAGACGTTGAAGTATAACACCAACTGTTGAAATAGAAAAAGATGATATACGTTTAAAATTTAAAAAATAAAGATCTTCTAAAATAGTAAACCGTTGATTTAATGTAACAAATCTCATAAAAAAAGAACTGTCAAACTAAACAGTTTATAAATTATGAAAAAGAGTATTTCAGTAAAAAAATTTAAAAATTGTCATTGTATATCTAAACACAATACATTTCCAACTAATAGTACTTATCTATAATATATTTTCAACAAATATTTTTCCACAAATAAGTAGTTTATGTGATACTTATCCACAAATTTTCCTTTTTTTCAGATATTTTTTCTATGTCTAGTCATAATCTTTCTCTCAATGGTGTGTTACCACAGGCACCGGCTTCCATGAACTAAAAACATTTAAGATCATATCATATCATTGACTATTATTGTTAAAGACACCCATTTTCATCCTTATCCTCACTCTAACCCTAACCCTAGCCCTATTGGCCATATTGAAAAACTAGCTGTTAATCACTTGAATTTTTAATGCCCCTTTACAGACTAAGGCTATGTTATGTATACTAAGGGTCGGGTACATATTATATCATGTGCAAATAGGTAGAAAGAGAATAATATGTAGAAATAGAATTAGAATGAATAAATCTATGTAATTAAATTTGGTTCTAGAAAAAATTATGGATTACTTAATGAAAGAAAATATGAGATATTAGTAACAGCCATATAATTAACTACTGATAATCTATACAGTTAATAAAGGGGGAGGAGTAATTTGGTGTCTTCTGCCTTTATTGGTAGTCATTAATAATTACTTACAAATTTATATATTTCATGTTTTATATTTATTTATTTAACCCCTTCATAACTTTTCCTCTACTCACATTTAACCACTTAAATTTCTCTTTTCTAATTTTTTTCCCTTTTCCATTTCTTTCACCTTCTTCTTATCTGCACACACAAGTACCGTGTATATATGACTCTTAATCTCTATAATATAAAATATGATAGACTTCAATAAGCTCATTCAACGGTCTCAAATAGACTCATGTAACGATCATCAATTTCTTTTTCAAAATTATTCGTATTAAATTTTTTTCTCCCCCAAATCTATCTTTTCTCATTTATATCACGACTTTATTAGGTTTACGTTGTACCGTGTCTTTAGGTACGAGTGACTTTAGTGTTAATAAAGTAAAAGTGCACCAAATCTATCATCTTCACAAATAGTATAGATAAGAATACCTCGAGAATTAGTTGCCCAAAGAAGACTCCCCAAATTCCTTGATTAGGTGCAACACCTTTTGACCTTTTTGCACTCCACTAGAAAAGACATTCCCAGACAGCCTCTTCCCCAATGCAGATAGCCATTTAATTGTTAAAAAAAATATTATTATAGCTGGCAAAACCCATTAATCTATCATCATCCTTGAAGAGGTCAATGTATTCATCTTTCGAGACTGCTTTTCTTAACTTTCCTTTGGAGAAACTTAAATAATTCATTTTATCCAAACACTACGGCAACCAATCAAGGCAATGAGCTACCCGGGCATTATTTAGGTCTTTCTTTTTTGGAGCGCTTGGAATATGCTTGTAAATGGATTGGGTTTAGATTGAATTTTAACTGATTCAAATTTGAATTTGATTTTGAAAGTTCGATTCGAATAACTTTAATTTAACAAATTAAATCTAAATTTTTTTAAATAATTATTTAATTTCTTTAATATTTCTATAAAATATAAGATATCGAATTTGGATGATTTATATATATATTATAATAATAATAATAATTTATATTCGATTAATCAAATTCGGGTTCGGATTAAAATTCAATTCATTTACGAGTGCTTCTCTATGAGACTTCCCTATCGCTTACTTCTAAGATGACAATTTTTTGTATTTTTTTCTTGAACGGTGGTTCTAGATGATTTGAATTTGAGAGCGGGTCTCGGCGCTCTAGCATCATATATTCAAATCACAATAATAATTACTTTGTATGCGGGGCAAGATTGTACACGACAAATCCCCTTCTCGTACAATGGTCTATAATTTTTGTTTCAAAATGATTTCTTTTTCCGGTAAGTATTTCCAGATGACTTTCACCCTTTTTCTAAGTCTTTGTTACCCAAGTTGGATTTTTTTTTTTTTTATATATCATGAATCTATTTTCTAATCAACCCTCTGGCCCCTTTAAACCCCACAAGCCCTACCAAGTCAAAATAGTTAAGTCGAATTTTAATCTAATCGCAAGTGATAATCAGCATTGCCTAACTGACCAAGATGTGAATCATTCAATCCTTTTTATAAACAAGATCTACAATATATAATTAATGATGCTGATAACAATTTTTGGAGCTAATTAATTTGAGAGGATTGTCGAAGAAAACTGGGATAAGGATTAACTTCAATCCATTTTAAAACTCTAAATGCCCAAAAAAAAAAAAAATCCAAGATTCTTCTTCCACTTTGACCAGATTCAGATTGGAAAACAAAAACAAATAAAATATTTACAAGGAAAAACATAAACAATGGAGCATGTTTTTGTCTTCAAGTTGGATGCTTGAATGATGATGGTTTCCATAGTTTCCTTGGCATTTTATAACTCACTGAGTTAAGGCAGGACTGATATATATATATATATATATATATATATATATATATACATATATATCATTTTATAAAATAAAAATAAAAATAAAAATAAAAAAGCATGTCAAGGCACAAGATTCTAGTTGTTGCCAAGTATGGAAAGAATTAGATGTATGAAGTCTTATCACGACAAGTAAAGAAATTATTATTGGGATCTAAAACCATATCCTAAAACCACCATAACGCCCAAATCAGAATATAGATTAGAGACATCGTCTGTCTTCCAACAAAAAATACAAAGAGGAATTATCAGTTACGGTCAAAAAAGTGTTTCCAACCAAACATACAAGTCCCATCCCCCACAAACTCAGTTTATTTGTTAAATCTTCAATTATCCATCCACACTTTACCCTTCAAATCTTCAGAATGTACCCACAACAGTCAGTATCAGTAGTACATGATCTTTTCTTCAGCCTTATTTCCATCAACAAAGAAATTCAAGTTGTTACTGATATTACTGCTAATGAGCTGATTAATCTCCTCAAGACTATAGTCTAATGGAGTTTCACCATAGAGCCCACTAGCCTTTTCAACAACATAACCATTAACACCACCACAATTTGAAAGTAACTTTGGGTTTTCTTCAACACCATTGTATATATAACCCTGTAAACCCATGTGTCCACCACCATTAGAAACACCAAACTCATACTCTACCTCTCTGCCTTGGCTGATAAGGTTGCTGAAACTCCCATCAGAGGAACTGCAACTACCTTGATCACCTCCAAACATGGGGAGGCTGTCCTTCACTTGATAATCATTCATGGAACCCATATAACCATCTTCCACTTGGAGAACAGCACTAGCACCAGAATTTGAAGAAGTGCTGTTCAAATGACTCGATGGGATTGGCGCAAGTTCATAGCCTGTAAAAGACCTAGCTGTTGTAATGTGATAATTGTTGTTGGTACACTTGAACTCAGAGGATGTTGATGGTAGTGTTGGAGATGAATGTAACGAAGGTGTTGATGTCTGAAAAACTGATATTGGTGCGTGGGTTATAGCCAGGTGAGGCCTTCTCTGAGATAAAGGGACCAACCTCGTTAGTTTCTTCTTGAGCTTAGTGTTCCAGTAGTTCTTGATGTCATTGTCAGTTCTGCCTGGCAGCTGAGCTGCTATTATTGACCACCTGCACTTTGAACTTTTTTAAGTGAGAATGAGTTCCATAACCATAAGAAAAATAACTGTTTTTCCTCCCTAACTGAAAGCTGAGTAAATTTATGACGAACGAGATGAGATATCCAAACTCAAACTTGGCATGCATGCAAAGCTCTTCAAAATCTATCCAAAAATAGCAGAATCTTAACACATGCAACTTTTGCTTTAAACCCAATTTTAACCCAAAAAAATATAAAAAAAAAAGTGGGAACTTAACAATTTTTCACAGAGGGAGATAGTGAAGAGGAAAATTAAAGGAGACACAATTCAGTTTGAGCAAAGAGTGATGATAAAAATTGAGGGGAAAATGAAAAAGGAAAAGGAAAAGGAGAGAAAGATGGCTGTACCGGCTTCCAATGCTAGCAAAGAGAGTGCAGATTATTCTATCTTCAACATCTGAGAAGTCTCCATGCTTAATGTTGGGTCTAAGATAGTTTAGCCATCTTAATCTGCAGCTTTTTCCACATCTTTTAAGGCCTGATAATGCAGAGATCACCATTCAGAAATACTAGCAAAACAAGAAGGAAAAGTATAATAGAAAATCAACAGAATTTTCTTGAGGAGAAGACCCAAGTAAAGTCAATTTGAAATAATCTTAATTACCAGCTTTTTGTGGTAGGGCAATCCAATTCCCTCCAGTCCCATACTTGTCTATGTACTCCTTTAGCTGTGCATCTTCTTCAGGTGACCATGGCCCTTTCTTCACACTTGCCTTGTCACAACAAGGAGCTCTTCCCATCTATCTACCTGACCTCTCTCTCTCGCTCCCACTCTCTCTCTCTCTCTTACAGACACACACACACACACACACACCAGGGAGCTTTCAAAATTGTTTGATGGTTGTGTGGGAGGTGGCTTTGCTTGCTTACAAGGCTAATGGGTTTGGAACTTTGGGCAGCCCTAGTATATATCTATTGTGAGGGACACAGAAGTCAAAGAGCAGACACCTCCAATTTCAATCATCACTTGTCTAACTCTCTTCCCTGATTGGCTAATGGAACTTTCTATCATAAATAAATCCATCCCATTTGCAACAGAGACCTTTGTTTTCTAGCCTCTCTCTCTCTCTCTCTCTCTCTCTCTCTCTCTCTCTCTCTCAAGAGAATCCAAAGTCTGCCCAACTAATGGCATACAATTCACAGAATGAAAAGGATAGGTCATTGACTACTATGCTTTTAGCGAAAAGGCCAAGTCATAGGTTAACCATTGTCAAATTGATTCACCAACCAAATACTGGTCTTTTAGCCTTACCCATATGCACACAGGTCAATATTAGGAGGTTGGACACACTAATGCAGGGCAAAACAAAACTTTTTCAAAAATTTTAGTAAGTATAGCATGACTCTACTTTAAATGGGTGGGATTTTCTTTTGAAAGTTCAGGAAACTTTAAATTCGAACATGTCCAACAAACTACTTCTAGAAAAAGTTGTTAGATAAATCTTGCATTTATGGCCAATTTTATTTGTGAAAAAAATTACTAACAAGAAATCATTACCACCCAATTAGCCGTCTTCAAATGGCTGCCAATTGCAACCAAACCATTAAACTCAATATTCTCTAATTGGCTGCATCCTATTCCTATCTAGTCTTTATTAAAGAAAGACTTTAAAGTTATTAATCATGCACAAGTTAAAACATCATTTTTCAATCATACACAGGACAGGACAGGAATAGTCAACTTGTTTCACCGTTAGGATCAATTGGGCGGGCAAATTAATAATTTATTGAATGCGTTAGCATGTAGCCATCAACCCGTGCAATATTCTAAGAGTAATGCTAAATAGACTTAAAAATTAGACTTGATAATCTCAATCATTGAATAGGTAGTGAGTTCCAATAAATACTGGGACCCACAGTAAAATCAATGGTTAAAATTATCAAATCTAATTTTTAAGTTTACTTCTTAAGTTCATGTAGCATTATTCATATTCTAATTTATCCCATAATGGTCAAATGAAATGCCCATCTTCATAACATTAACTTTGATTATTCACATGCATAAGCATGTTCATCTTATAATCTAGATGAGGATCTTTATCATTTATTAAGTTTAAAAAAAATAAAAGTTAGTATACGATATTTTCGCCATTGTGGATTTATTAAGCCTTATTTTAAATATAAAGGCTCTTATATCATGTAAATTTCATATATGCATCCATTTGACTAATCATTTGTAGTGAAATATGGTAATAAAGCCTTTTTATATTCACGTGAGGTGACAATATTGAAGTGGTGTAATTATTATACTAAATATTTACTACTTTAATAAATTGTAATATGTTTATTATATAAATAAATTTCCATCGTTTTTATAGTGAAAAATGACTAAGAAAAATGGAGTCCATTCACGTATAACTGTAGAGTTTACAAATTCATAGTCAAAAATTTGGTGCAAAACTATAGTTAGTTGTTAACCCGTTAAACAGTATAAGAGATGGCAATAATGCTGTGTTTTTTTTTTTTTTTTGGAAATGCAGGGCTGGTTAATATTAACTACACAATCAAATTGTCCCAGGTGTCAAAAAGGCAGCACCGAGCTTAAGACTTGAATGGAAGAAAAGGCACATCAAAATCGGATTCTCTTCTTTGTTTTTTTGGTTCAACGGTCACGAGTGTCTAGATGAGTTTCAACTAATTCTCTCTTCAGTCTAGTCAAATGCAAGTTATCCGTACCGAGACTAGGATATTCATGAGGGATAAATCTATCATAGTCTTATCCTAAAAAATTATTCAAATTCAAATTTAAGACGTGTTGAATTTATAATTGACGTTGTTATTACTTTGGAGTTAAAATAAGATTATCAGACTTGAGGGAGACTGTTAACAGAAAATTGCTATGCTAGGGACCCAATATTATGAACCCAACGCATTAGGAGATTAAATATATAAAATAAAAGTCATTGTGACATTGATTGGACACCCAAACGGTTCGACTAATACAAGCACAGAGGTGTCTGATTGGTCAAACCGAAAATTAAAGGAACACTGAAATGTTAAATCCAAAATTAAAGGGCAACCAACCACATTGATTATTTCGCGCTCAAATAAAAGGTAAAATCTAAAATTAATTGATTCACGTGGTTTGCAAACAACTGTATCCCATTCAAAGTTTGCATCATGGCCATGAGTCAAAGGATCTGCAATTGGACGATTCTCCGTTACTAAATTAAGAGGGGGAATGGAGGAGGACTGGAGGTTTCCATTCGAAAGATTTGTGATGATATTGTTGACTTTTTTAAACCAATAAAACATAGGGCCTTGCTGTGCTGTCTTACACCTTCTAGTTCTTCCTAGCCAGCATGCTGTCGGTTTTGACCGCTGTCGTCCTAATTGTTTTCAAGCCTCTGTTTGGATTATTTTTCTGCTCCCAAGAGCATCTACAATTTATTTTTGGAGAGAATCTTAGTTTGAAATAGAGAACACCTCTGATACAAAAAATTGAACACCCATCTATAAGCTTTGCAAGAAGACAAGGCATTGACTTTGCATTAAAGTTGAGCCAAGGATTCGTCCACTTTGATTTAGTTGTTATGTTAAAATGTCTCGGTAATTTTGGCAATGAAAACCCAGATTTCACTTGGGAGAACAGTTATGGTCCTCAAGCCTAGAGCTGGAGCAAGCAGGTTAACTTTCTACGATTTAGATTTGCTTCTTTACATTTTTTTTATCAATTTTTCTCTATAGAAAACTAATTTAAGTGAAGCCTATAATATATGAGAGAATCTCTCACCAATAGAAGATGGGATAAACTGTAAAAAGGCCTGATATCTTTACAGCAAGTAGATTACAGAGCTGAAATTTGATAGCAATGGTGAAGCACGGACTGTAATCAGTAGTGCATCCACAAACAATCATGCAGTCTCTCTTCTCCAGCACCAAACATCACACTTTGACCATCTCGGTGGAAATGGAACGTAGGTGTATATCGAATATGCTTTGTACTTTCTGGGTATTCATCAATACTGGCATATATGAAAGATTATTTTGGAAACTTCTTGATTATTTGGCAGAATATAAAGAGGATCCGGCTGCAAACAGAGCACCTGGAAAACAGAAACAAATCAGCTTGAACACCAAATAAATGATAACCCACTCTATGAAAGTAAAAACCTGTTTCATTGAGAGGATCTTGAGCATGCTGTGTTCACCTCAGCCATAGTGGAAACACATCATATAATAATAATAATAATAATAATAATAATGACCTTATGATATTCTGTAAACTCAATCTTTGCTATGGTTGTTCAGTGCTAGGAAAGCAACAATTCAACAGATAGGAACCAGTTTACACAAGGAAAATGTTTGCCAATCTCCTATGTAAGCCCCATAAATTCAGCTTTCCTTTGAGTAAAACATCAAACACCTTGTATTCCCATATCACTGACACAAACAGACACACGTGTCGCTCTTTCCAAATCTAAAAATGGAATTTTTTCCTTTTAGTAATGCATAAAAGAATAACTCAAACAGTACGAAACCGATGTAAATTTACTCAAAAAAAAAAGACAAGGTGCAAAGAATTGAGCATCAGCAGTGTAAACTTGTCAACAAAAAAGTTACCTGAAATTGAGAGATCAAGTGTAACACATCACATGCCAAAACCTGGAACCAACACACCCCATATACTGATACAGAGACAAATAAACAAGCACCATGGGTATGAGGTAAATAAAGTAATTACATCCACTCATATTCAAATAAATAAATGGTTTGAAGAAGCCCATAGCATACCAAGAAGCGCCATAATTAATTACTGCCGGAAAAAAAGGGTTTTTAAAATTGTGCGTGCAAGATCCTGCACAATATAAAAAACGAGAACAGATCTCTTCCTTGGTGAACTTCGAGTGAGCCAGTTGAGTGACCAACCACGCTGCTTGAAACAGCATGCGAGGTTCAGTGGTAACCTGGAACGGCAACGGGAGACCCTGGGGGAGCGGAAGAACGATCCAGTAAGGCTGAAAGAGGTTCCTGGAACAAAGAAGAACAAGTTAGAAGGGCGCCGGAGTGTTTTCCGGCGTATCCCCTCCGACGATCTAGTCAGTCTTTTAGAAAGAGAGAGGAAGGAGAAAACACTGAGTGAGTATTGTAGTAAAGAGTTTTTTGTTGCATACCCGTCTTGCCTTTTGCAAGGAGTATTTATACCTCAAAAGCTCATGATTGCTGTCAGTGTAGTCAGTAGGTGATCATTAGGTACAGGCAGTGTGCGCACTGATTCTGATGAGGAATGTCTTTTCTTCTTAACTGCTCGGGGTCCCGAGCAATCAATGCTGTGTCATCGGGATGCCGACGGTACAATGTACTCCTCTCGGGGAGGAGGCAATAAATGCACTGTATTAGGAGCATTTATTGTCTTTCATTTCCGAGTCTTACCGCATTGAATGCGGTCTCATCAAGGGAATGGTGTAATTAATAGTTTGCTTTCCCAAGCCGCGTGTCAGCAACGGCATGCGGTTTCTCTGTCTTCGATGTGATATCATACGCCACGCGTCCATCCCCTATTGGCTGTGACCCCTGCATTCCAGTACGTTCTGACACTAACTGTGTAAGACGAGGTCATGATGAATAGCCTAGACTAGCCTAGGCTAATGACCTGTACGTCAATAGCTTATCCTGGATTAGAGGAGGCGTCCAGGACAGGGTACACCTCGGCACCGAGGAAAGGCTCATCTCGGAACCGAGGGAGGGATACCGACCGAGGTACCATATCATACCGAGGCCACGTGTCGGTTGTAAAACG